TACGCCTAATTTTTGACGACAATTAGCAAAAAATGTTAAATGTTAACACTCAGTCCATTTGAATATGAAAAATAAAATTGACTTTGATTAAATGTTTTTATTTATCATGCAATTCTTCTTGCGACCAAAGATTTGAATAAAAGTTCAAAAAATAAGATAGCTTAAAAAATAATATACGGTAGTGTTTACTAATAGATGAATAGTATATAAATTCTATTAAAATGGATTTGATCCAAAAAAATATATAAAATTTGATCATAAATAAAATCGTTTTAAATTACTTCTTCATTTAAATTATAACAATTATTTTTGGTTTTATATTTTTTTGGATCAAATCCATTTTAATAGAATTTATATACTATTCATCTATTAGTAAACACTACCGTATATTATTTTTTAAGGGTGCACCCGTATGTACGTTTATCTGAGAGGAGGAGGATTACCCTCTCAATTTTGAGGGATTCGTTAGTTTATTTTCTCGATGAATATGCAATAAAATTTGATTTTTACCTTATCAATATACTTCATATAATATACACATGTTCATGTAAAAACTTTTTTCCAAAATCCTCAGGAATTAAGGGATTTTTGAATTTTAAGAATTTTTTTCGAATTTTTTCGAAAAAAAATATTTTCAGAACAGCCTTAACGGCTAAGATTTAGGAACAATGTTAAGTATCAAAAAGAAAGGAGGTCTGATATAGACAACATATATCGTTGAAGGTTGAAAAAATCTCTAATATTTGAGCCCAAAATTTCAAATTTTAATTTTTTGAAAAAAGAGGCCACCCGTATGTACGTTTATTTGAGAGGAGGAGGATTATATTTTTGAAAGGGTGAAACATTATGAATATGTTAATTATATAATAATATGTATTATTATAAAAAAGAAAAATAAAGCACGTTAAAATTTTTCTTTCTTGATTTTTTACAAAATTTACTTAGAATTATGCAAAATATGTTTAAATAATTATAAATTTCAAGTTAAATTTTAATTTTGATAAATAATTTAAATTTCAAAATATCAAGTTCAGTTCGACTATGTATGTAGTAATTCCTCAATAAAGTGCCAAAACCCTATTAAAATATATGAACATTTTCAACATTTTAATGTTTTTATTTAAAAATTTGATGGAATATGAGCTTCAAACAATTATTATGTAAATAAAAATAAAAATATATGTATTTATTCGTATTACAACCGTAGTAAGTCGATTCTTCCTTTCTTCTACTGAGATTTGAATTTGATTTCGAATTGTAAAGAGATTCAAAGGGAAAATACTAGCGGATAAAAACTACCTCCATGAAAGGGTCATAATGGAGTCAAGTTGTATTTTTTGATATTTTTTGATTTTCGAGCCTAAATAGGTAGCCAAGATAATGCCTAAAAATAAGGTTCTAAATTCTGAAGTTTACATGATCCTCTCGTGTGCACCCTTAAGCTATCTTATTTTTTGAAATTTTATTCAAATCTTTGGTCGCAAGAAGAATTGCATGATAAATAAAAAAATTTAATCAAAGTCAATTTTATTTTTCATATTCAAATGGACTGAGTGTTAACATTTAACATTTTTTGCTAATTGTCGTCAAAAATTAGGCGTAAAGCAAAAATTGATATTTCATATGGTTTTATGATAGATAAGCATTATATTCCCACTCATTATATTCGAAAATTTTGAGGTTTATCCTTCGCTTTTAAGATCATTGATTTTGATTTTTATATAAAATAGTTATATATTAAAAAATAATATGAGTTTATGTGATATTATTTTTCAGAAGATTTTGTGTTCTTCTTCAAAATTTTATTTTTTTATTAAAAAGAATCTTTACAACATATACATTTACTTTAATTAATATTTAAAAACGTGCTCTATCAAAAGTTCCAAAAATTCAATATTTTAGCTTTTCTGAGATTTCACTTTTGACGAATTTCTGTTTACAACAATACATTTAAAAAAACTTGTTAAAAATGAAATTAAAAAATTATGTTTATTATTACGCTGTGAATGTGTCAACAGCGGTCATGCCTGTATCTGTATCCCATATTTGCCACAACCTTTCTGTATCTGCATTTGTGTATTTCGGTTTCAGCTGATACATTTGATTTGGCGTGTAATTTGTTCCAGTTAATGGATTAATTGGGAGATCTTCATGCGGTGTGTTATTATTGTACTCCCAAATAAAGGCAGGAATAGCCTGAATGCTTTGGCAGCGCTCCAATGTCGGCCAGAATCTCTCAATCTTCCCATTTTGGTAGGGAGAATGAGAGTCTGTATGCCGCCATTGGACGCCCCAAAGATCAAGTAGATCTTGAAAGGCGCCCCTATTTTCTGAACCGTTGTCGGTCCAGAAACAATAAGGGGCGCCAAATTCAATGAAGCCGGAAGCCGCAACGTTCGCTGTCGTCGCTGCCAGCATATCTGGTATTTGTATACACGCTAGGACTTTGCGGCTAAAATCGTCGATTATGCCATAAATATACTGGCCACGAACACCCCTAAAATAATGAACATCTGCGTGCCAGATAAGATTGGGTGAAAGCGCCCAATATCTTACTGCTGTTTCTGGCCCGGCATGCTCTAATCGCGTCTTGGTGAAATGATTTTCTTTGAAGTATCTGCGTATTTCTCTATAAGATACATCAATTTGTTGTAATTTCAAACGTTTCCATTGTTTTGTTTGACCACAGGGAAAGGCCCAGTGGTCATGTATCACAGCAAGAGCTTTGATTTGGTCGTAGGGATTGACCCTACGACCTTTCTTGCCTTTAGGCAATGGGATATTCTGTAAGCTAAATTGATTTTGTAAATTAATATACATATCATGCGTACTGTGGCACTGCGCGCCTCCTTACACATTATATGTGAATTTGACACTTTACAAAACCGTTAACGTATATTTTACAACACAAACACTAACTTAACCTTGAATATTTACAAAGCCGCCAACCACTTCACCTCACTAACGTTTTCACAAACGACTTCACTACTGTAAAAATAAACGTTCTCACTTACAAAAGTATTGCAACTCCTCCCATTGCTGTGCTTCACACAATACTTCATATTCTTCAGTATCGCTGCTGTCGCTCCAATCGTCAGAGTCAAAGTCACTGTCAAAATAAATTTAGGTGAAGTGGTGAGATCTCACCTCTTTTTTCACCCTGTTGAATTCATTGCTTTATAACTCTCTTCCTTGGTTTCTTTTTAGTTGCTTTCTTCACGTCTGACACATAAACGACTTCACTAACGACTTCACTAACGAATTCACACGTATGAAAACATAGCACAAAAATAAATTTAGGTGAAGTGGTGAGATCTCACCTCTTTTTTCACCCTGTTGAATTCATTGCTTTATAACTCTCTTCCTTGGTTTCTTTTTAGTTGCTTTCTTCACGTCTGTCTCCAACTTGACTGTCTTTCTTCTTCGTCCATAATGATACCAATTACTTCCACCAGTCAATGGGTCAAATGGTCGTTCATAAGGGTTTCCATACATTCCATAAGGCCCGTATGGATAAATCACTGGTGGAGAAGAAACATTTTCTTTAGTTCCATCGACTCTATTTAAATGCATTGTTTCACCTTTCATCTGGTCATTAAAGTCTTTTGCGTGTTTTGCAAACTCATCGTCCTTTCCTAAAGCATTTTCTGACTCAGTCGCAACCAAATTGGATGCTTTATTTATGAGCCCTATTTTATTTAATCTTAACTTCTTTGCAACCCAGCCTCCAATCTTCCCTTTATTTGCGTCTAATGTCTTCGAAACCCTTCCTCCACTCATTTTATTTACTGCGTCATAAGCTCCAAGTGCTTTTGCTCCAAATGCTAATGCTTTTGTTCCCATTGCGCCTAAAGCTGCCCAAGCTACCATTTACACCATATTAAAATCATCTCTCTTCAATATTATCTCATAAAAGTTCTCGTTACTGGAGAAAGTCAATGAAACATAAGCGTTCTCATTCATAAACTTCTTTCTTATATCATCTATACGCTTCAAAATGTCTGAACAATTGCTAACATCTTCTACAACAGTTATTTCATCATGAATGACCTTCAAGAACAAGCTCATTTAATATGCAATTAAAATCATCTCAATAATGAGTCCATCCTTTCCGTCTTTGGGTAGCACAAACATCTTTCATTGAAGAAGGTTCGACAAGTCTTATGTTAAACTTACTGACAAAGTTTGTTATACTATAATGCTTCGGCGGCGAATACATATAGTTTGAAAGACATAATATAGATTCTTCAGCAAATTCACTTATACTGGATTTTATAACAATGTTCTCACGAGACCAAATACCACCAATTGACAATCTTGTAAGCAATCCTGCTGAACCTTCAACTGTAAACGTCGATGGTAACATTCCACGAAGGTCATCTATTGACATCTTTGAGTCACTGAATTTAAAGATTTTCTTAAAGCAATCGTCATTATCTAACCATGCAATAGCTTTGAAGTTTTCATTCGAATAGACATCTGCTTCATTAAATGTAAATCCTGACTTCTTTGCAGAGACGACTTTAAAATCTATTGAGTTTGTTTCAAAATTATATGCTATGATAACTTCTGAAGGTAATGGATGCCCTTCCGCAGTCAGTTGTTCTCTCACTACCGTTTGAAGCTTTGTATTAAAAACTTTCATGTCATCTCCTGTATCTAAGTTCACATACACAGCAACAGGGAAACTATCTTGCTTCTTTGTTTCATCATTATATCTCAAAACATTAAAGTTCTTCAATAATATTGTTCTTCCTGCTGGAATACTTCGAACCTGTCTGATTTCAATAGCTTTCTCACCTCCTACATACTCTACCCAGTGTCTTGGATATTCATAAGTATACTGACTTTCTTGAATTTTGGTTGGTTTCATCATAACATGTTCATAGTATATCTTTATACTCTTGTCAGTTAGACTCGGTGCTATGTTCTGAATATTTCTGACTTGCATTTTTAATGGAGATAAAATGAAGCATTTAATACATGATGTAGATGAAGACATGAATGAAAGCAGTGAAAAGCTCAACAGTTCTCTCATTCTTCCTTTCAGTAAGGACTATGAGTTCTGTTCAAATGGCGTTTATTTCTATTGTGGAAAGATGGGGTCAGGAAAGACATTTAATTTAATTCGTCATATACTCATAACAGAGCGTTTAGGAAACGACTCTTACTATGACCAAATCATTATATCAGCAACTTCAGACTCTATGGACTCAACAGCGAAAACATTTATGTCAAAAGTTCAAGCCTCTGTCGTTAAAGTTCCAGACAGTGAACTCATTGAATTTCTTCAACGTTACATTCGACGTAAGAGGAAATATTATGCCATCGTTGAATTTATACAGTCAGGAATGCAAAAGACTTCTGAGGAGATGGAAAGAATTATTGACAAACACCACTTACGTTAATACTCAGGAGTATACAATATGAAACGACTTACAAAGTACATTCAAAAAGTATCCTTCAAACACTCTGCTCGTTTGCGACGACTTCGCTGGTAAAGGTTTAGTTTCAAAACCAGACTCACCATTAGCTAACATCATTACTAAAGTCAGACATTACCACTTAACTGTAGCAATACTTATGCAAACATGGAGGTTTTTAGCTTTAAACATAAAACGTCTCATAACTGACTTCGTTATCTTTCAAGGTTTCTCACGTTATGATATTGAACTCATTTGGAAACAGTCAGGTATAACATTACCTTTTGAAGAAATTTGGGAAGCATATAAGTCTCTCATCTCTCCTCGTTCATACCTTGAGATTCATATCATGACTAATACCATTAAAGTCAAAAATATTCCATGGGAACGACCAACATTGTTTTAAAGTTTAACCTTCAATTGACTGATGGTAAACAAATTCCATGCATCTCTGTCGCCATTTCTGTTAATATTTTTGCTGTCATTCATATCATCCACTTCCCCATCCGTTAGCTTTTGAGGATATGCGTTAGAATAACTGTTCTTAAATGAAGGCTTTTCACCTTTGAGAGCATAAACTCTATAACTTTCTGCATACTTTATGTTTGAACCTCCTGAGCCATCATTGACATAAATTTTTATAGGCTTCCACCCTTTGTTCATGTTCCTGCTTCTTCCCTTAGCTCTTTTGTTCAGTAGTTCTACATCTTTATACACAGCACATGTCTCAGTGAATTCAACAATATTTTCATTCGTTAGCTTTACATTCAAACCCTTGTCGAGTATATTGTTCATTTCATACATATAAAAGGTTTTTATTCTATATGAAATGAGAAACAAATCCATCTTAGCTGGTGCCGTTAATATTCCAATTGAACCAACATCAAATGTTGACTCACGAACGACAAACAATATTGTCATAAAGAACTATAGTTCGGAGTGTTTGAAAGAAAAAGAACCAGATCTTAAGTCGGTGAATTTAAACACAGCTTCAAACGCTAACGCTACATCAGATGTTAAGTTAGAGTATCCACCACTGGACCAAGTTCTTTCAAGAGAAGCCAACGACAACCCTTACACAAATGTTCAAACAAATCCTTCAGATAACGTAGACCATTACCTTCTTCAGTTATACCAAACAATTTTACTCAAAGACGATAAGAAGCTTTTGACAAATCTTATAAGCAAGAACCAAATAATTCTAACAAAGGAGGACCTTGAAAATGTTATCTCACGAATAACAGGGAAACAATGTGTCATTGACTATCTCGACCCTGAAATCGAATGCTGTGGTCAAACTCCACTATTCATGAAAATAGGTAACATCCGCATCATTGAAACACCAGGAACTACAGGAGTTGAGTTTAAGTATAAATATTCGAATGAATATACAAAACTTTCAACAGAATATAAACTTTGCTTGAAATATGTTTTAGTAAATTAAAGCAGTCAGGACCTTCGGTCTTGGCGCTTTGCGCCGTCAGTCAAAAAATTTCAAGTTAGCAATTTGTAATATCTATCCAAAACTTCTTCAACAGTATCGAACTCATCTTCATAATGCAAACCTAATCTTATTGACTTGGTGCAGTTTTCACTAACACAATATTTTTCTGTTCTCTTGACTGACATAACTAACTCATTTGTTTCATCAAACAGCAACAACCAAAGTTCATGACCTAATACATAACATTCATACTTTATATTTTTAGCTCTGAGTTCTCTTGTAAGCTGTTGCATTTAATATTTTCTAAAAAGTCAACTTCAACAGTCATTCGCACTGGTGCCTTCAGTACTACAGGCTCTCCTTGAAAGTCAACAAGTCTGAATTGCATGTCTTTGAAATTATGAGGACTAATGCGAACCCATTTACCTAAATGAGTTGCTATGACAGGAACGTTTGGAATGAACATTGAATTTACTTCATAACAGAAAGACTTATATTCTACTGAACCTTTACTATTAACTCCTGAAATACCTGTGACATTAGCTATTTTAGACTCAATGTACAAACAATTACCATAACATACGTATGGAACAGATTTCATCTCAATCGTTTTGTCAACACTTTTCAAAGGAAATGTCATATGGTATGCTCCCAGAAGCAATTGAACTCTATGACTCATTCGTGTTATCTTAAACTCCTTCGCATAACTGAACTTCAATGTTCCCTCAGAAGAGAGTTCGACATCTATGTTGTCAATAGTTTCTTCATTTATGAGAGCATTTAACACTCCAGCAATTTTATCTATTCTATACCCAGCTCTGTTAGGAAATGTTATAACACTTCTTTTGTCATCTATTTCAATCTCTATGAAATCTGTTTCATCTGTTATGACAAAAGTTGCGATAGTATTGAAGTCAACAACTCTGAAAGCAAGCGCTTCATTCTGAAGACCTAAGTTTGTTTGTAGCTTTACTGTCCCGTATTCGTTTGGGTCTGTACTTTGCAAATAGAACAACATTTTATTCTCATTAAAATATGACTATTGCTGCATATGCGTATGAAACAAATGAAGCAAGAAGAGCACTTGAACTAGTAAACGAAAACTCAACTTTAACCATTGAAGGCAATGATTTAGTCATTGACGATGGAAAAACTAAAAAAGTCATTGATTTCGATACTTTTAACACTTATGACCCATTCATTACAACCAGCAAGGTTCCTATCATAAATGATGGAACGGTGCAATATATAAATTCTACAGTAGATGCCTCATTAGTGAAAGTATTAAATGTTCTCATTGAATTGTTAAAGAGCTTTCGATTTGACGACAACATTAAATGCTTAAAGAATTTAGTCATGAATGAGAAACAAATTCTCGGCGTTGCTGGTAGCAGTAATGATGTACACCTTATGACATTAGAATATTATAACGAACATAAAGATGAACTGAAAAGAGAGAAGGGTGACACTGGACCTCAAGGACCACAAGGAATACAAGGAATACAAGGACCTCAAGGCGAAAACGGTTTGGATGGTGAAGATGGAAAGGATGGAAAAACTGCTAAATCATGGATATGGAACCTTATAAATACTGGTTTAACAGCTGCTTCATATGGAGTTCTTCAATACCAAATCGGAAAGATATGGGCGTACTTGGTGAAGAAGTTTTAGATGACGTTAAAAATGCTTTGAACTTCATTTCAAATGGTTCGGATACTATTAAAACTTTATCTGGTTGGATGCAAGAAACAAGGAGTCAAATAGATACTGTAAGACGTATAGCAAACAATGCACGTACGGGATTGGATACTTTACGAGAAGCACAAAATACACTAAAGGAAGCAAATGATATTCTTGGCTCAGTATCAGACATGCATGAAGATTGGCTTAAAGGTATTGACAAATCTTTAAAAAATCACAGTCAGTCTATTGCTGACTACAAGAAAAGTATAGATTTTTTACATAGTGCTATGGACGTACATGATGGAAGCATAAGGAACTTACTTAATGCTAACAATAACTTACCAGGAACTATTAAAGCATTTATAAAGTCCTTTGTAAAACCTGGTGCTCTAACATTTAGGTCTTTGAGAGCAAGAGCATTGAAGTCAAGAGATGCAGAAACTCCAACAGAACCTACAGAAGGAACTGAAACAACAGAAACTCCAGAAGAACCACCAAAACCAACAGCTAATGAAATATTGTTCGAATATTTTCCAAGGTACTCTGTTCTCATTGCATACATTCAAGAAATACTTAAGAAAGCAGACTTGACTTTAGGAGATGATGAAAGTTCTGTATATCTTTCGTTCCAGTTTCAAATAGCAGAACTTTTGAGACAGATATGCTTAATGTATGACAACATCTCTGATTTCGCAAGATATGATGACGACCATGACCCCGAACACGGTGAAGAAGAAGTTTTACAAACATCCATTAAGACAGGAAAGGTTTTAACACAAAGTCTCATTATTGACACCGAAGATGGTGAAGTGGATGTTCTTCAAGATGCTGAAGTGGAGGTGGTGGTAGACATGAACTTGAAATAAATGAGATAGAAGAGAAATTAGCCGAAAAAGCAGATAAAAACCATGTTCATTATATAAGTTCAGACGAACAAATTATAACGGACTACCACGGATATTTAATACAGGATGAAGAAGTGAAGACGAAAGATGTTAATGAAAGAAGATATAAATACATTCGTGCTAAAGGTTATGACATACGTTGTACTGTACAGTATGACACAGGTAAAGCACCAGAAGCATTTGGTTATAACAATGAAATTTATGCCTCTAGTTTCTTTGTTAACGGTGTATTAGTTGAACCAAGATTTACTTTGAGAGTTAAGGCAAAAATAACTTTTGAAGATGCTATTAAAAGTAAAGCTGACAAAGATGAACTTGACGCAACGAACAAAGTTTTGAAATCTCATAAACACAATATCTCCGATATAAATGAACTTCAAGCTACATTAAATAGTAAAGCCGACAAGAACCATACACATAAATCCTTCACTACTGTTAGAGCAGACGACATAATATTGAACTATACCCTCGGTTCAAGTGCACCTTCAGGGAATCCGAGTACAAGCGTAAAAGATACTCTTAACAATTTAGATAACTATTGCAGGAATATCGAAGGTCATGTCAGAAACTTTGAAGCATATGAACTACCAACAATGTTAGATAAGAAAGCCGACAAGAACCATACACATAAATCCTTCACTACTGTTAGAGCAGACGACATAATATTGAACTATACCCTCGGTTCAAGTGCACCTTCAGGGAATCCGAGTACAAGCGTAAAAGATACTCTTAACAATTTAGATAACTATTGCAGGAATATCGAAGGTCATGTCAGAAACTTTGAAGCATATGAACTACCAACAATGTTAGATAAGAAAGCCGACAAGAACCATACACATAAATCCTTCACTACTGTTAGAGCAGACGACATAATATTGAACTATACCCTCGGTTCAAGTGCACCTTCAGGGAATCCGAGTACAAGCGTAAAAGATACTCTTAACAATTTAGATAACTATTGCAGGAATATCGAAGGTCATGTCAGAAACTTTGAAGCATACGAACTACCAGCAATGTTAGATAAGAAAGCCGACAAAACAGAGCTTCAAACATTAAAGACTGAAATACTTCAAACATTATATCCTGTTGGTTCTTTATATACATCAATGAATTCAACAAATCCAGCAACAGTTCTGGGTTTTGGTACATGGAAGCAGATTGTAGACAAATTCTTATATTGTACTAATAGTTCAAAACAAGCCGGTGGTTCAAAGAAAATTAAAGAAGCAAACCTTCCACCGCACACTCATACAGGAACGACAAACTTTTCTGGCGACCATAGCCACTCATTAAGAGACCACCCATTATACAACTCAGACTATGAAGCCGGCAATGACGTTTTATCTCCATCTTATAACAATTCAGCAAAAAAGACTTTTCGACCAACTGAACCAGGAGGAAATCATGTCCATACTTTCACAACAAATCCAACAGGCTTGGGTAAAGATTACATGCCACCATTTGTGACTGTATTCGCATGGTACCGCGTTCATTGAACGCGCTTGAGCCTAGACCCTTTGGGTCAAGGCTTACCGTCTTGAATAAAATCTTTAACTTTACATAAATGAGCTTGAAAGAAGTATTCGAATCATCACCGTGGAGGTCATTTAAGAAGTTCAATGAAGCTGCAAAAAGTTGGGGATTTACTAACAGAGCTGAAGTGAAAAGGTTCTTTGACAAAAATGTTGTACATCAAACAAAAATAAACCCTTACGACTAATTTTTACCAATTTACTCCAACGCTCCTGACGCATACCAATTTGACACTCTCATTCAAAGCAGAAAAGGAGGACATAAACCATTCCTCATCTTCATTAATGTTAACACTCGCAAAGCTTTTGCGTATATAATGAGGAATAAAGGAACTCGTGAAGTGTTAAGAGTTTTACAAAAGTTTGTAGCAGAACATAGCCCAAGTACTTTAACATCAGACCAAGACAGTGCTTACTTCAGCAATGAAATCACAGATTTTCTCATTAAGCATAACATAACTCACTACACTACCGAAGACCATAACCATAACATACTCGGCATCATAAACCGCTTCATAAGGACTCTCAGAGATTTAAATCAAGAGCGAGACTTTACTGAAGAAACAATGAAACATTTTCTCGAAGTATATAATTCCTCAACACATTCTACAACAGGACATACACCAAATTCAATGACACAACAACAAGAAGAAAAGTATATACAAAAGAAACGAAGCCAAACACAAAATATCAGAAATTCAACACAATTTACCCTCATTCCTGGTACAAAAGTTCGTGTAGTTCTTGACGACAAACCGTTGACAAAGAAACGTTTAAGGTTAAGTCGAAATTATTATATCGTAGACTCTACGCAAGGTAATGGATATCTTATAAAAGCTGCCGACGACTCTATTGCGTTTTATCCTCGACATAAATTAGTCGAAAGTAGTAATGGCAAACTTGCTGAAACCATTGACGAAGCAAAGCGAGGAGTGGTTATTGAAATACTTGGCTATAACACAAACGATGACACTTATAAAGTAAGATATGAAGGAGGCGTTGAAGATGTTATACCATCTAAGAACTTGAGAGAGTCGAAGCCAACACATCTGGGACCATTAGAGCGGGAGTACTGGAAAGACAAAAATAAGCCAGAAAGAATAAGAAAATTCTTCTAAACTTTTTCATTTTGTTGCTGAATTCAGCAAAAATAATTTTTAGGTGAAGAGGTGAGATCTCACCTCTTTTTTCACCTGTTTTTTCACCCTCACCGCTTAGCGGCTCAGACCCTTTGGGTCTCGTGAATTTTCATGAATTTCCTTAAGATAGAAAAAATAAAGTTAGTTTTATTTTTATTTATTTTTTTATTTTGTATAAAAGATATGATTTCAACAATCAGCACAACTACAGCACCAAACTCGTTAGTCATGAATCCTACGTCAATGTTAGTAGAAATGAAAAGCTTCATTCCTTCTTCATTTACTTTCGAAACAGAAATCCAGAAGATAAAGCAAGAACTTTTAACAAGTAATTTAGACTGTACCGCACAGGATGAAGAAAATGCAGAATATCTTTATGACATGCAGGACATTATTGACCATTTACCCAAATTGCCTGAAATCCAACAACAAAAGCTCACTATTCATGAATTCGATGAAATAGAAGTCAAAGCAACTGACTCAGTAGAAATTAAGAAATTCATACGTAAAGTAAATTATGAATTCCTTGGTTTTCATTGCAACCATAAAGTTATGGACAAAGATTGCGATATGGTTTATAAGAACATCTCTGACATATATAAATCTGGGGAGTTTAAGACATACGATAACTTTGTTACATTAGTTGCAAGATGTGTATGGCAGATAAGAGATGAAGATAGAAGAGGCAACGTATGGAACGAACAAATAAGACCCGCTATGTTTGAGTTAAAGAGAGCAATTGACGCATTAGTTGTTCTAGCTGGTTTTATTTCGGTGTATAACGCAAAAATGAATCCGCAATGTTCAAAATGTAAAGCAGCAATAAGAAAATATAACTACTCAGTCAAAGAGATAGAAAGAATGCGAAACGACTATGCAGACTTAAAGAAAGAAGCAGAAAAGCCAGCAGAAGATAAAATGGATATGTTGACATTTCTTAATAAAAACTATCCAACAGCAGAAGATTTCCTTCTGTCTGACGTCAAGAAGAAATATAAAGAGACTTTCGGCATGATTAAAACATTCAATGTACTAAAAGAAGAAATAGAAGCTACGAAATTGTTTAGGATTTCAAATATACATCGTACAATTCATGTAAAACGCTTGTGAAAAAACAGGTGAAAAAACAGGTGAAAAAAGAGGTGAGATCTCACCTCTTCACCTAAACATTATTTTTGCTGAAAAATGACCAAATTTCATGAATTTTCATAAAAGATAAAAATAAAGTTAGTTTTATTTTTATTTATTTTTTATCTTGTATGTAAAGACAGTAATGACAAACATTGAGTTTGAAACAGTTAGAAAGATTGACAATGACACCAAAGTGGTTAGAATTGGTGATTTAAACGTAAGATACTGTAAGAAATACAACAAATATTCTTTGTCAGACATTATATCTCCATCTGGAAAGAAAACAAAGGACTGGGTTAGAATTGCTTCTACTCAGAAAATTTTGGCAAGAAATCCCGAGCTTATGATATCAGTAAGATTCTATGGAACTATAGCATATCTCATTGACAAAAGTCTTATACCAATAGTTTTGTTATGGATTGACCCTGTTGTTGGATATAACTTCATAACTTATGGCTCATTCGATATGGAACGTTGCAGTGAAGGCTTACTTTACATCGTTCAGAAACCGAAGGACTTCAATACAAAGAGATATAAGATAGGAAGAACATATAATATAACTCAAAGATATGACTCTACAGTCAATAGAGTCAAGGTTGTGTTCGTTAATGATATATGAGAGCTGCTGAAACAGAACTACTTGAAAAGTTTGAGAAAATGTATGGTGCTCCCATAAAAGGTAAAGAAACGTTTGAAGTAGATGAGATAGATAAAGCTATAAAATTATTTGACGAAGTTGCTGAAAAATACATGTAAAGCGTTTATTTTTGGCCTTTTGTGAAAGTCAGAAAATAACGCTAATTTTTTCTAACAAAAATTTTTATCTTGTATGTAAAGACAGTAATGTCAACATCAGAGAACACAACAACTGCTATCGTTCATGAAGTCATAAATGAAGAATATGAATACATACAGTATAACAAACAGTTACGTCTCATTCGTTCAGTCAAAGACGATATGTACCAAATGCAAAGTATAATGAATGCTCTTTGTTCTACAAAACAAGCATATCATTGGTTTGAAAACCAACAGACAAAAGAACTTTTAGAAGAATTTCCTCATATGATTGCTTCCCTCGGAAAACCGAGGGAAGAGATTCCGTACGAAAATCGCAAGAATTTGGCTCCCGGTTTGAAAGGTTATTATGTTCATAGACTTTTAGTAAACGCTGTAGCAATGTGGACTTCTCCTCGTTATGCTTGTTATATTTTCATGATGTTAGATGAACTATATAAAGCAGAACGTGGAGAGGTGGAAAAGAAACTTCAAGCAAAAGATGAAGTCATTGAATCCAAAGACAAAAGCATACAGAAAAGAATACCGCGTTCAGTACCAAAAGGAAAGGAAAAGAGTTATAAGTATATGATATATACTGAAGAGTTGGAGAAAGAAGAAGATAAAGATATGGTTATGTTACATTTAGTCAGAAGAAACAACAAGAGCTTTTATGACTTAGCTAAGATATATAAATCTGACAGAAACTGGTTCTATTGTGAAAACTTACCGATTTCAATGACACCGAATGAGCAAATAAAGGAAATTGTCAAAAATACTCTTCCTCAAACACACTATGACATCAAAGGTTGCACAATACTTACATTCAAAGAAGACTTAACATTACTGAAGGAAAAAATAACATAATATTTCGATAACTTCAAAGAGGAAGAATGAAAAAAATCTCGTCTGGTGCCACGTTAGGACCATAGTGGAGAAAACCATGATAAAAACAAAACACTCCGTCAAGTTTATTTTGTTTTTACCATTTAATTGTTTCCATAAACGCTCCATGTCGATCATAATCGACGAAGAGAGAATCGTCTGATCGTCAAGTTTATTTTGTTTTTACCATTTAATTGTTTCCATAAACGCTCCATGTCGATCATAATCGACGAAGAGAGAATCGTCTGATCGTCAAGTTTATTAGTTAACGGGAGGGTTAGATATATTCCATCATAACTGAAAACATTCGTGAAAACATTAACGTAAACATTTGTTTCCAGGACTGTTGTCAAAATGTCATGTTGTCAGTAATTTTAAAAGAAGTTAATTAACCTGGTGACACATGGTGACACCATCAGTTATTCAAAAATAAATTTTCTTATAAAGCTTCAGGGTCTATTTCTTCAACCATTTCACTTCCTTCGTCAATGTCAATAGAAGCTTCTTCAACCTTTGGTAGGAGCTTATGTATAACATCTTTGTTCGTTATTGTCTTCAGAGATGAAGGATAATATTTCACAGATGTTTCACCCTTCTTATATTCTTTCTGTTCGGAAAGATTCATAGCAATACTGAAGAAGTCAATGTTGGAGTTCTTTATAACAGTATAGTGTGTATCTTTGACATTCACGAAGAAACTCTTTTGTTTCAAAACTACTGCTAACTCTTGTGAAGTATAACGTTTGCGGTCAATGACGATAGCTAATGGTCTGACATACTGACCAAACTTAGATTCTTTCACAAACTTCTTGTTAAAGATAACATTAACATTTGAAGCATTATTGAACTCATTCTTGATGGCAGTAGCGAGAGCATTGTATGAAAAGAACTTGCAATCTTGCATGTGTTTCATTAAAATAAAAATATTAAATTATTTTGAAAAATAACTTAAAAAAATCTAATCTAATTTTTTCAAAAATATTTTTTTTTATTTCCTACTAAAGATGTATCGGAAGTTGTCTAAGTTAGAACACTCGGAAATAAAACAACTTCTTACAGAAGCTAATATAGATGTTGCAAAGCATTACGCAACAAACAAAAAAGCACTCGCTGACATCCTCAATGACTATAATGGTGCAATAAGTTATGATAGAATTCATGAGTTCATAAAGCCGCAACGCGGCGAGGACGAAGTCCATGCAAGAGCATTTCCTTTAAATGACATTGCTATTGACTTATATCATAGACGTTCAGTACCTCATGAAGTAAGAAGAGAAATGTTTGACATAACAAATGCAAACGTTGGTGAAACAAGAAGAAGAGACGACACACTGAAACAACAGAGAAGAGAGATGTTTAAGAGCGCTATAGAACAAGTTCGCAAAGCTAACGATGTCATTCGTTCCATTGACGACAAACCAAAAGAAGGTGAGAGATGGTTAAAGAAAGATGAAGAGAATAGGAAGAGAATGTTAAGACAGGCAATAGACTCATTGACTTTAACATCGAAGCTTTAGATGAACCAAACAGAGAGACTACTTACACAAACATTTCGGTAAGGTTTTCATGAGACTCTTAGAGAAGATTAAAATAAACTCCCAACAAAGATGGATGGTATGTTATAAACTTGGTGGAAAGTATGAATGTTCTACGTTAAACCTCAATAATATTGGAACATTACTACATCAGCTCTTGAAGGAGAACTTTATATCAGAGATAGAAGCAAATGCTGCAGGTATTGTTGAAATGCACTATGACTTCTTCTTGACAAACATAAAGAATCTTACTGAAATAAAGATGTATGATTTAACAGAATATGAAGGCTTAACGATGTCAGATGTAAAGAAAGGCAAACCAAAAAAGAGACCATATAGAGATGAAAGCACACTGACAAATGACCAGAAAGCCATTTTGGAAGCTCTTAAGCAAACAGGAAACCCAGCACTTATAGAAAGCTTTTGGAAAGATAATGGTGAAAAGAAGTTTTATAAGAAGAGAAGCGGTCAGTTCTGGAAGTATCTTTGCACATTACCTATAAATCTTGAACGCTACCAAATCTTCAATGAACTGAACAAAAGAACTGCAACACTTATGACAGAAGATAACTGCTTCGTTTATGCTTGCATTCAGGCTGGAGTAAATGAAGAAACTATTGACCACATGAGAGAAGTCATTCGTGTTAGAGACTTTCCTCAAAGTAAAGTACAAGAAATTTCTGACGCAACAGGTATAGCATTTAATGTTACCATTGGTTATTTCAATGACTCAAGACATAATGAAATAAAGAGATACATACCAAAAGAATGTGAAACTGTTCGAACTATTGACTTACTTCTTGTTGAAGACCACTACATGCTAAATGAAAGATTCCAAGACAACATATTTCATTCGCAACTATATAGAAATCTTGAAGGAGTGTGGTGGAATGAACATTGAGAAACAGATGAAGATTTATACAAAGAGAGAGATAAAATGTAGTTCGTTATGATAGAACTACACCGTATGGGATGTTATGAAAACATTGTGGGAGTGCAAATATTTCGAACCTATTTCTTATGGAGAACTTTTCACATATACGACTGACTTATATAAACAGAACCTTGCACCATTTAAAGATTTGACATATACTCCAAAGTATTGTGTACAACTGAAGAAGAAAGCCGAGTCAAAAGAAGTAAATAAAAATAAGTGCAAGTTCATTCCTGAGCACGTTTTCTTTGCTGACTTTGAGTGTAGTACGGATGGCTTTCATAAAGCTTTTAACATCTGTTATGACAGTGAAGATGGTTCAGTGAGTGAAAGCATTTGGTGTCAGAACTGTGCAACAGAATTTTTGGAACGACTTCCTGACAAGAGTTTAATATATTTCCATAACCTCAGTTATGATATAAACTTCATCTTAAGACACATGACAGAAGTGAAAGGAACTCCCATCATTAAAGGTTCACGAACAATGCAAATAACTGGCTTATATAAAGGAAGGGCAATCATTATTAAAGATTCATACACTGTTATAAATAAGAAGCTTAAACTATTTCCTGAAATGTTTCATTTGCAGTGTGGTGAAAAGGAAGTATTTCCGTATCAATATTATTCAAGCTCTTTATTAGCAAATGACAACAGAACTGGTGTCATTTCTGAAGCGTGTAAGTTTATCAGGGATGTGGATACGTTCATGAAAAACATAGATTCCATCAAAGGTTGCAGAATAGATGAAAACCACTTCGACTTAGAAAAGTATAGCACATTTTATTGCAAACAAGATGTAAGAATTTTAAGAGAAGGTTTTGTTAAGTTCCGCAATGATATATTAAAAGAATTTGATTTAAACGTTTATGACTACGTTAGTATTTGTTCTATTGCTAACAAATTGTTTGAGAACAGAGTGTACTTCCCGAATGCAAATTTATATGACCTCTCAAATAAACCAAGAGAATTTATTTCACGCTGTATTCAAGGTGGAAGATGTATGCTGTCAGATAACATGAAACAAAAGAGCGAAAAGAAACTCATTGCTGATTTCGACGCTGTTTCATTATATCCATCAGCTATAGCAAGACTTTATACTTTAGAAGGTATTCCAAAGGTTATGAAGAAAGAAATGTTAAGCACAGAGTATCTCATGAGACATTTATTCGATGACGACCAAAAGGAACCCATTGGTGAAAAGTTTATGTCTGGCTTCTTTGTTCTCATTAAGATAACAGAGATTGGAATATATAGACACTTTCCTTTAATAGTTTGTGACCCTGAACTAAATCCAGAACTTAACGTTCCCAGAAGTTCAAACACTTGCTGTTTAATGTATGTTGACCATATAACATTACAAGACCTCATAAAATATCAAGGTGTCAAATGTGAAGTGTTGCAAGGATACTATTACGATGGAAACAGAGATATTAGAATAAGAGATGAAGTAAAGAAGTTGTTTGAGTTAAGGTTAAAGTATAAGAAAGAAGGAAATCCTTTGCAAGAAAATATAAAGCTCATTCTGAACAGTATTTATGGCAAAACTATTCTATCTCCTATTGAGTCAAAAATAACCATAGTAAATGACAAAGATGCTATAAGATATGCCATCAGAAACTACAACCATATAGTGAAGTTCGAAGGTTTGGATGGTTCAGATAAAACTATTTTCAAGCTAACGAAAAGCATTTGCAGACACTTTAACTTCTGTCCACTTGGTGTTAATATTCTGTCAATGTCGAAGAGAATAATGAACGAAGTATTCTGTACTGCAGAAGATATGGGACTTCAAATATTTTACCAGGACTGTGATAGCATGCATATTTTCAATGAAGACATACCAAAGCTTGCAGCAGAGTTTAAGAAGAGATACGGTCGCGAACTTATAGGAAAGAACCTTGGTCAATTTCATTCTGACTTCGCAGAAATAACACCTGGAAAACAAAGTTTAGCATACAAGTCAATATTTTGTGGAAAGAAGACCTACATAGACTTACTCACGAATGATTTAAATGAAGTTGCATTCCATGCACGTTGCAAAGGTGTCAAACAAGACGTCCTTGCTTTAACAGCAAATGAAATGTTTCCTGAAGCTATACAATGCTATTACAATGAAGATAAGAACATTCACATACCTGTTGGAACATATGACAAAGACTCTGAGTTCAGTTTAATGAAACTTTACAAAGCACTTTATGATGGTCAAGAGATTGGATTTGACTTATGTAAGTCTTCTAGTCCTTGCTTTGCTGAAAAGTTTAACTTCTCAATAACGACTAAAACAAGCTTTATTCGTAAGTTGAAGTTCTGAGGTCATTTATTTTTGTCAGCAATGAGGTCATTCGTGATAAAAATAAGCCGCTAGCGGTGAGGGCGAAGCCCATGTGGTCATTTACAATACTGCGATGGTAGAGTTTAAGATTTGTGCTTCAATGTAGAGACAATCTTTCCCATCTGGAGGTAAGAACACTGGGCAGTTATGGTCATGAGTGGAGAACATGTCTATCCAAAACTCACGATTGAAGCCAGTTAATTTATAGTATTTAGGGTTAGGAAGTGGTGAAGTTCTTGTATGACCAATGAACTCATTTTCAACTCCCTTACTTAAGTTTGAATATAATATAGCTTGCTTTCTATCCCAAATACCAGGTGTTACAATCTTTGAAAATTCATTTTTCCTCGGAAGCATTGCATCATAATTGAAAACATTCTTGAAATCATCACTTGGTTCAGAGATTTGAAATCTTATACGTAATGGATTTTCTTTCTCTTTAGCGACTTCATTGAATGGTGAATATATAACAAACTGACAGTCATGTGTTCCATCTTCATTTTCATTAAATTCATAATGAAAGTCTATAAGTTGTGGCTGACTACCTTCTTCTTTCAGTTGTGCAAGAAACTCACGTAAAGGCTGTAAAGTTTGTACTTCAATGTTGAACTTCTTTTGAAAAATTTCGTAAAATGTAATTATACAGTCTTCTAACGTCGTACTGTCTTTAAAGTATTTGTATATGTGAATGTTTTGGGCGCTTAAAGACTGTTCGTCATTTTCTATCTCGACTTGAAGTATAAAGTCAACCTTTCTGAAAGCACGTGTTATATACATAGATGTTATGCCAATGTACTTCTCTTCATTTATGTTCACAATCCAGTCTGTTGGAAACTTAAACGTTACTCTGTTCCCCTTTATTTTGACGTCAGGGTTTTCACTACTGAACGCAACAGATAAAGGTATTTGTCTATACATTTAATTCGGATAAAAATAAACCATTTACTCTTTCTTTGCTTCAGCTTCTTTAGCTTTTGCTTCAGCTTCTTCTCTAGCTTTTTTCGCCAGCAAACGTGGGTTCTTCTGTCTTCCAGCAGCTAATGCAGCAAGTTGTTTTTCACTAAGTTTTCTCTTTGGTCTCTCTGGCTTTTGTTCTTGTTTTTGTTCCTTCAGTTCGGATAAAATTTGCTCACGAATTTCTTTCTTCAATGCTTCAACATCTATGATCCCTTGGGTCTTGTCCGTAGGGTTTGTCTGAGTCATTTGACTGCAGATAAAAAACAAAATTAAAACTTTAACCGATGTAAAATGAGCTTGTCAAAATCAGAGCGAGAGTCTATTATATTAAATGACGCCAGAGGAATACAACATCCTTTCTATTACGTAAGTCAGAGTAAAGATGGTAAAATATACGTAAGAAAAAGAAAGGTTCCATTAGCGAATGCAGAAAGCGACAACATTAAGGTGCATGACAAGGGTGAAGCCCAGAAAGCCCATATAAAACCTTCTATTCAAACTGAAAAGTCAATAGAACCAGAAGAAAAGAAGCCAGATGTTCTTTCAATAACGAACCAAGAGCTTATTGCAAAGTTCGTGAATTTCATTGAAAAGCAAACCGAGTCAAAGAACCCTGACCCACCAGTGAAAGAAGTTGAGACAAAAGAGAATGTACAGTTCATTGAAAATGTCAAGAAACAACTTCCACCACGAATGCCAAGAAGAAGAGTGAGAATAATGAAGTAAATAGATATTTTTATCTGAAGTAAATACATGCAGAACGAACAGCTAAACGAATTTACTCCAGCAGAGCATATTCATCAGATTCGCTCATATTTCGATATCATAGACAATGCAGTTCAAATTGGTGACACTAATAGAAAATATTCTGACGCAAAGATTCCATCACAACCTGGAACTGCTAAAGATAACACATGGGTAACATTCAATCTCTCACCTCCTGGTGAAAATATGTTGGACCTTTACAATACATTCATTACGTTAAAATGGAAGGTCAATTTATTGTAGATAAAGAAATTGGTTCAGGTTCCAATAAAACAAACCCACCAGGATTTTGGATTGGTTTCGATGACGCTTTCTATGCAGTTGCTGGATATCAAATCCTTGCAAATGGTCGTATCGTATATTCTCAAGACAACGCAAGAGAAGAAGCATATATAACTTCAAACTCACAAACTACCGAACAAATAAAGAAAGTAGATGTTTTCTCAAAGACTCGACATGAAGATGTATGGAGTCATTCGGGAACATGCAGAACAGGACAAATTATTAGTGGTCCAATTACAGCAGGAAAATCATTTGATTTTAAGCTTCGTTTAAGAATTCCTGTTAGAAGATTTTACCATTAGAAGCTATTCGATTTATTCCAGCTTTTGCAGGAAACATTCAGCTTAAAGTAAAGTTCAGTAGCGACGCCTTACAATGCACATCTATATCTGTAAATGATATCATTGCTTTCAATCCAACTCTTAAAGTTGCATTTGCTTCAGATTCAAATCCACCGACAAATAAATTTGTTCCATGGAATGAACCATTCACTATGATAACGAAGGCAATAGAAGCTAGTGGAACAGTTACTATTACAACTGTAACCCAGCAACTATTTCGAATAAAGATGGATTTTAATGAATGTTTCATTCATCCAAAATCATTCTCTTTAGACCCTAACATTTATACAGAACTTGTAGAACATTATACAAACGAGGCTTTATGTTTTCCTGTTAAAGTTATGGATTGGATTCCTATGGACGGTTCATTCTCAAAGAATACAGATAGTTCAAGTGCAACATTTACAGCAGCTTATACGCCTATTAATGTTAAAAGTATTTGGGTACTATTTAGAAAGAAAGACAACTATTATGTTAATTTTGAGAACCATAAGTTTAAATATCTTCAGCTTTCCATGGGAGCTTATGGAAATATGCCTGCAGAACCCGAAAAATCATATGGACCTGTATTTTATGAAATGGTTGCGAACGCTTGCAATACAAACAATGATATGATAGGATTTAATGAAGATGTTATGAGGTCATTGGTGGATGATGGTAGTGTGGAACATAAATGGGATAGCTATGACAACACACATTTCTTATGTGGTTTTCCAACAGAAGTGGACTTTTGCTTCCAGCAAGGTCAAACATCTACTGCTCCAATAACATACAAATTGTCTGTTAAAGGACCTATTGAACTAGCAACTGAAAATGTACCAAAGCCACTTATTGGATTTATGAGGGATTGTTGCTTTGCCATTCAGGTGCGTGCTAATGGCATCCCCATAATAAGATTAGATGACTATAACTTAGCTACGGACGACAGTGAGGAATAAAGGATGAACGTTTATTTTTAAAGCTTATAAATGAGTTCTTCATCAAGCTCTCGCGAACCTTCACCATCTATGAAACAAACTTTACCAAACGATTATGGAGCACCTATTGAATATTTCTTACGAGCTGCACAATGGCAAAGAGCAGTCTCACCAAGGTTAGGTGTTCCACCAGCTCCTGTCAAAAATAGCATTTGGTCAAGTCCTTATATAAGATATGGTCTCCCACTAGGTTTGCTAGCTACAGCAGTAGCAGTTATGATGTTGAAAAGAAATAAAGCAAATGTTGTAAATAATACTGAAGTAGCTGAAGTTAAACAAACTCCAACACCTTCGCCAAAACCAACGCCAAAACCAACGCCTTCACAAGCAAAACCTTCAATGACTCCTGAACCTATGGAAGTACAAACTCCTGTTCAAAAGTCAACTCCTAAACCGACTCCAACATTTAAACCAGAACCTACTCCTCAAATAAATCGTAAAACTCCTGCGTTTCCTTACTGAAAAAATAACGTTATTTTTATTTAATATTAAAATTTTTATTTGATTGAAATGACGACTAAAGTCACTGAAGCAATGAAACAAAAGTTTTTGGTAGAATACATTAAATCAGGAACTATTCCAGAAGGTTTTTACATTCATACTATGAAGGATGGTAGAGTTCAGTTTAGAAAGATAAAGCAACCATTAGATAAAGAAGGAATTTTGAGAAAGATTAAACTTCATGAGGACAACATTGCTAAACTTAGGAAGAAGTTAGAAGAGTTGGAGAAAGGAAGAGAGTTATAAAGCAATGAATTCAACAGGGTGAAAAAAGAGGTGAGATCTCACCACTTCACCTAAATTTATTTTTGTGCTATGTTTTCATACGTGTGAATTCGTTAGTGAAGTCGTTAGTGAAGTCGTTAGTGAAGTCGTTTATGTGTCAGACGTGAAGAAAGCAACTAAAAAGAAACCAAGGAAGAGAGTTATAAAGCAATGAATTCAACAGGGTGAAAAAAGAGGTGAGATCTCACCACTTCACCTAAATTTATTTTGACAGTGACTTTGACTCTGACGATTGGAGCGACAGCAGCGATACTGAAGAATATGAAGTATTGTGTGAAGCACAGCAATGGGAGGAGTTGCAATACTTTTGTAAGTGAGAACGTTTATTTTTACAGTAGTGAAGTCGTTTGTGAAAACGTTAGTGAGGTGAAGTGGTTGGCGGCTTTGTAAATATTTAAGGTTAAGTTAGTGTTTGTGTTGTAAAATATACGTTAACGGTTTTGTAAAGTGTCAAATTCACATATAATGTGTAAGGAGGCGCGCAGTGCCACAGTACGCATGATATGTATATTAATTTTTGTAAAAAAGATTTTGAAACATCTAAATATTTTAAATCATTTGATTGAAGGGTTGGGGCGATGGGAACATGGGTGCAAGCTTCTTCCCATGTCATTTTACCTTCTTCAATCTGATTGGAAATACCAATTAGGTAAATTCGATCGACATACCCTTTGTAAGGATTCATTCTAATGAAGTACGTTAACAATCAAAATATTCTATAAGTGTCTAGTATGGAATTCAAAAGAATAAAGAAAATGGTAACGTAAATAAACGTATTATGAAAAAATTTATAATTAAAATGAAAAAAAGAAAAAATAATAAGTAAAGTGACTGGAAATGAAAATGAAAATCAGTGTACAGTTTTATTTTTTTCTCGCTGTGAAACGTATTCGGTCATTTTTTTAAAAATTAATTTTTTGTTAGAGATAAGAGCTAAAACTCGGTAAACAACTTCTTTATGTCTAGAAAATTCTATCTTGCCTTTTATTTTTTTCTCGCTGTGAAACGTATTCGGTCATTTTTTTAAAAATTAATTTTTTGTTAGAGATAAGAGCTAAAACTTTGCAGACAACTCCCCCATGTCTAGCAAATTTAACATTCGTCTCCCATTTTGATATATTTGGTTTAGAATGTTCGAAAATGCGTAATATGGTCATTAATATTAATTGAAAAGAACCTTGAATTAATTCAATCTGATCTCACAAAATATTTTAAATTACAAACTTTGTAGTTTGAATAGATAATTAGTATTAAACTCAAATAACTAGTTTATTTTTGAATAAAAATTATTTGAATTTATTCAATTTTGTGAATTTTCCTTCAAAAATCAAGTTTAAATATCTTATTTGCCATATAATTATAAATACAATGAAACATATTCGAAATTGAAAAGAATGACTTTTTCTGTTCTTTCAATCATTCAATTTGAATTTTGCAATATTGGATTTCTCATTAAATAGCTATTAGAAACAACAAGAAATTTAACTTACATTCAAATTTATTTGTGTTATATTCAATCTTCTCAAAACTTATAATTTTCGGCTATAGCATGATTATATGCTATATAATATAATAAACCTATAATAGTATCATTCTTCAATTATTTGAAGAGAAAACCGAAAAAATCTATTTTCCGTCTATAACACTCAATTAAAATTTTTACTATCAGTTAATCCTTTTAAATTACTAGAGCAGCTAAATGCAATCATCTTCAAAAAATTCGAATATTCACAAAATATTTCGGTTTTAGATAAAATTGTGAAGGATGATTCAAAAAAAGGTACTTTTATAGTTTTCATGCAGACAAAAGAATACACCTTTTCGCACGTAATCAAGAAGATTATTACTAGCATAAAATCAAAACCAGGTGAGCCAATTAAGGTCAACATTATTGCAGGTGAAGAAAATTGCGAAAAAAGGCGATTATATGATTTATTTAACGTGTTGTGCTCATTAGGTTTGTGTAACAAGAGTATTGGAAAGATGTATATGTGGGTTGGAGAAGAAAACATGCTAAGGACAATTCAATTCGAATACGAAAAATTTGAAACTGAAGCGATTCAAAATGAGTTTTGGGAATTCTTTAAATTACCAGAGTCACCACCGATCGGTCAACTTACAATGATGATTCTTGTCATTTTCCTCTTTTTTGGCGTTCATGAAATGAGTCTAAAACAAATATGTTTAGTACTCGCCCAAAAAAGATCTAAAATGACCGTCTTATTGAGACGTTTGTATCTCGCAGCCTTCTTTCTTGAACAACTAGGCTTGATATCACATTCCCTTAAAATTGGCTCATACCAATTGAATTTAGATGCAGATACAATAGTTAAAGCCACATTCGACGATATGAAAAAGCGAATGCTGTTTCCCATCAATTCTATAGAAATGCAACTACAGCGAATCGATAACAGCTTCATTGCAGAGCTCAAAAGTATGAGATATATGATCTTATTACAGAAAATGAGATTGGAGAAGATTCCTGTTACTTCAGCGATGGATGAAGAGCAAGAGTCGCCTAATATAGAGAATATTGTTCCTCAAAATCATGTTTCAATATATTAATTTTTATTTGTTTGATTAAAGTATATATATAATAGTAGATGCAATCAATAAATTATTTTATCCCATTTAAATTCAATCGAAACTATGCCAAAATCCAAAATTCTCAAAAATTTTTATTTGGCCATTTGTCCATTATTAAATATTACATAAACGTGATAACTCATCTGAATATCCGATTGAAAGCAGACATACTTTACAATCGATAATTGGACATTCAAGAATGTAAATAGAATCAAATGAAATGCCCGCTTCAATATTAAGCAAGCTACGATTCTTTGAATACATTTGGTCCAGTTTAAGGAATTTTAAGGGTGCACCCGTATGTACGTTTATTTGAGAGGAGGAGGATTACCCTCTCAATTTTGAGGGATTCGTTAGTTTATTTTCTCGATGAATATGCAATAAAATTTGATTTTTACCTTATCAATATACTTCATATAATATACACATGTTCATGTAAAAACTTTTTTCCAAAATCCTCAGGAATTAAGGGATTTTTGAATTTCAAGAATTTTTTTCGAATTTTTTCGAAAAAAAAATATTTTCAGAACAGCCTTAACGGCTAAGATTTAGGAACAATGTTAAGTATCAAAAAGAAAGGAGGTCTGATATAGACAACATATATCGTTGAAGGTTGAAAAAATCTCTAATATTTGAGCCAAAATTTCAAATTTTAATTTTTTTGAAAAAAGAGGCCACCCGTATGTACGTTTATTTGAGAGGAGGAGGATTATATTTTTGAAAGGGTGAAACATTATTGAATATGTTAATTATATAATAATATGTATTATTATAAAAAAGAAAAATAAAGCACGTTAAAATTTTTCTTTCTTGATTTTTTACAAAATCTACTTAGAATTATGCAAAATATGACTAAATAATTATAAATTTCAAGTTAAATTTTAATTTTGATAAATAATTTAAAATTTCAAAAATATCAAGTTCAGTTCGACTATGTATGTAGTAATTCCTCAATAAAGTGCCAAAACCCTATTAAAATATATGAACATTTTCAACATTTTAATGTTTTTATTTAAAAATTTGATGGAATATGAGCTTCAAACAATTATATTATGTAAATAAAAATAATTAAATATATGTATTTATTCGTATTACAACCGTAGTAAGTCGATTCTTCCTTTCTTCTAACTGAGGTTTGAATTTGATTTCGAATTTAAAGAGATTCAAAGGGAAAATACTAGCGGATAAAAACTACCTCCATGAAAGGGTCATAATGGAGTCAAGTTGTATTTTTTGATATTTTTTGCTTTTCGAGCCTAAATAGGTAGCCAAGATAATGCCTAAAAATAAGGTTCTAAATTCTGAAGTTTACATGATCCTCTCGTGTGCACCCTTAACTTGAGATTCGATTTTTTTGATCCAATTTGTGAATTTTTTTTTGATCGGAATTTCAATTAATTTGTTGATCAAAAATGACCTCACAATGTTTGATCATAAGTGAAGTCATCTTCATGGGTATTTAGAAATTCCAAGAGAAATTGCTTATTTCTAGAGTGTAAATCTGAGAAAATCGAATTTAAATATTCATAGAAACCCAAATCATTCTCCGGTTCGAATAATTCATCTGTTGCTTTTTCTGTTTTTTCTATGAATTTTAATAATTTGATTAATAAATCTTCATCAGGAAGAATTATTGCTGCATTTGTGATAAAATTCCATATTGAGGTAAGTTAGTATACATAAGTCGTGTACTGAGGCACTGCGCGCCTCCGTACACCACTTAGCGGTTTTGACACTTTACGAAACCGTTAACGTATATTTTACAATACAACCATAACACCAACTTAACCTTAAATATTTACGAAACCGTTAACGTATATTTTACAACACAAACGACAACACTAACTTAACCTTAAATATTTACAAAGCCGCCAACCACTTCACCTCACTAATGTTTTCACAAACGACTTCACTAATGTAAAAATAAACATTCTCACTTACAAAAGTATTGCAACTCCTCCCATTGCTGTGCTTCATATAACAGCTCATAATCTTCTGACTCACTTTCTTCTTCATATAGGTCAAAATCACTGTCATAGTTTATACCTGTAAGTTTTGACAAAGCTAATGAAACACGCTTACCGTTTGTATCGTATGCTTGTATAAACTTTCCATTATGCTTGTAGTCATAAACGCTCAAACTAACTTTACCCTTTCTCCCTCGTATCTGATAGAATGTATTTTCACGAGGAACGAAGAACAAATTCTTGAACTCATGACCGTTGTAGTTTGTTATCTCAATAGTTTTCGTCATTTATATAAAAATAAACTTAAAAATTAATGATATTACTACCTTCACGCGTATGAAAACATAGCACAAAAATAAATTTAGGTGAAGTGGTGAGATCTCACCTCTTTTTTCACCTCTTTTTTCACCCTGTTGAATTCATTGCTTTATAACTCTCTTCCTTTCTCCAACTCTTCTAACTTCTTCCTAAGTTTAGCAATGTTGTCCTCATGAAGTTTAATCTTTCTCAAAATTCCTTCTTTATCTAATGGTTGCTTTATCTTTCTAAACTGAACTCTACCATCCTTCATAGTATGAATGTAAAAACCTTCTGGAATAGTTCCTGATTTAATGTATTCTACCAAAAACTTTTGTTTCATTGCTTCAGTGACTTTAGTCGTCATTTCAATCAAATAAAAATTTTAATATTAAATAAAAATAACGTTATTTTTCAGTAAGGAAACGCAGGAGTTTTACGATTTATTTGAGGAGTAGGTTCTGGTTTAAATGTTGGAGTCGGTTTAGGAGTTGACTTTTGAACAGGAGTTTGTACTTCCATAGGTTCAGGAGTCATTGAAGGTTTTGCTTGTGAAGGCGTTGGTTTTGGCGTTGGTTTTGGCGAAGGTGTTGGAGTTTGTTTAACTTCAGCTACTTCAGTATTATTTACAACATTTGCTTTATTTCTTTTCAACATCATAACTGCTCCTGCTGTAGCTAGCAAACCTAGTGGGAGACCATATCTTATATAAGGACTTGACCAAATGCTATTTTTGACAGGAGCTGGTGGAACACCTAACCTTGGTGAGACTGCTCTTTGCCATTGTGCAGCTCGTAAGAAATATTCAATAGGTGCTCCATAATCGTTTGGTAAAGTTTGTTTCATAGATGGTGAAGGTTCACGAGAGCTTGATGAAGAACTCATTTATAAGCTTTAAAAATAAACGTTCATCCTTTATTCCTCACTGTCGTCCGTAGCTAAGTTATAGTCATCTAATCTTATTATGGGGATGCCATTAGCACGCACCTGAATGGCAAAGCAACAATCCCTCATAAATCCAATAAGTGGCTTTGGTACATTTTCAGTTGCTAGTTCAATAGGTCCTTTAACAGACAATTTGTATGTTATTGGAGCAGTAGATGTTTGACCTTGCTGGAAGCAAAAGTCCACTTCTGTTGGAAAACCACATAAGAAATGTGTGTTGTCATAGCTATCCCATTTATGTTCCACACTACCATCATCCACCAATGACCTCATAACATCTTCATTAAATCCTATCATATCATTGTTTGTATTGCAAGCGTTCGCAACCATTTCATAAAATACAGGTCCATATGATTTTTCGGGTTCTGCAGGCATATTTCCATAAGCTCCCATGGAAAGCTGAAGATATTTAAACTTAGGGTTCTCAAAATTAACATAATAGTTGTCTTTCTTTCTAAATAGTGCCCAAATACTTTTAACATTAATAGGCGTATAAGCTGCTGTAAATGTTGCACTTGAACTATCTGTATTCTTTGAGAATGAACCGTCCATAGGAATCCAATCCATAACTTTAACAGGAAAACATAAAGCCTCGTTTGTATAATGTTCTACAAGTTCTGTATAAATGTTAGGGTCTAAAGAGAATGATTTTGGATGAATGAAACATTCATTAAAATCCATCTTTATTCGAAATAGTTGCTGGGTTACAGTTGTAATAGTAACTGTTCCACTAGCTTCAGTTGCACTCGTTATCATAGTGAATGGTTCATTCCATGGAACAAATTTATTTGTCGGTGGATTTGAATCTGAAGCAAATGCAACTTTAAGAGTTGGATTGAAAGCAATGATATCATTTACAGATATAGATGTGCATTGTAAGGCGTCGCTACTGAACTTTACTTTAAGCTGAATGTTTCCTGCAAAAGCTGGAATAAATCGAATAGCTTCTAATGGAAAATTTCTAACAGGAATTCTTAAACGAAGCTTAAAATCAAATGATTTTCCTGCTGTAATTGGACCACTAACAATTTGTCCTGTTCTGCATGTTCCCGAATGACTCCATACATCTTCATGTCGAGTCTTTGAGAAAACATCTACTTTCTTTATTTGTTCGGTAGTTTGTGAGTTTGAAGTTATATATGCTTCTTCTCTTGCGTTGTCTTGAGAATATACGATACGACCATTTGCAAGGATTTGATATCCAGCAACTGCATAGAAAGCGTCATCGAAACCAATCCAAAATCCTGGTGGGTTTGTTTTATTGGAACCTGAACCAATTTCTTTATCTACAATAAATTGACCTTCCATTTTATACGTAATGAATGTATTGTAAAGGTCCAACATATTTTCACCAGGAGGTGAGAGATTGAATGTTACCCATGTGTTATCTTTAGCAGTTCCAGGTTGTGATGGAATCTTTGCGTCAGAATATTTTCTATTAGTGTCACCAATTTGAACTGCATTGTCTATGATATCGAAATATGAGCGAATCTGATGAATATGCTCTGCTGGAGTAAATTCGTTTAGCTGTTCGTTCTGCATGTATTTACTTCAGATAAAAATATCTATTTACTTCATTATTCTCACTCTTCTTCTTGGCATTCGTGGTGGAAGTTGTTTCTTGACATTTTCAATGAACTGTACATTCTCTTTTGTCTCAACTTCTTTCACTGGTGGGTCAGGGTTCTTTGACTCGGTTTGCTTTTCAATGAAATTCACGAACTTTGCAATAAGCTCTTGGTTCGTTATTGAAAGAACATCTGGCTTCTTTTCTTCTGGTTCTATTGACTTTTCAGTTTGAATAGAAGGTTTTATATGGGCTTCGCCCTCGGTGCCATGCACCTTAATGTTGTCGCTTTCTGCATTCGCTAATGGAACCTTTCTTTTTCTTACGTATATTTTACCATCTTTACTCTGACTTACGTAATAGAAAGGATGTTGTATTCCTCTGCGTCATTTAATATAATAGACTCTCGCTCTGATTTTGACAAGCTCATTTTACATCGGTTAAAGTTTTAATTTTGTTTTTTATCTGCAGTCAAATGACTCAGACAACCCTACGGACAAGACCCAAGGGGTCATAGATGTTGAAGCATTGAAGAAAGAAATTCGTGAGCAAATTTTATCCGAACTGAAGGAACAAAAACAAGAACAAAAGCCAGAGAGACCAAAGAGAAAACTTAGTGAAAAACAACTTGCTGCATTAGCTGCTGGAAGACAAAAGAACCCACGTTTGCTGGCGAAAAAGCTAGAGAAGAAGCTGAAGCAAAAGCTAAAGAAGCTGAAGCAAAGAAAGAGTAAATGGTTTATTTTTATCCGAATTAAATGTATAGACAAATACCTTTATCTGTTGCGTTCAGTAGTGAAAACCCTGACGTCAAAATAAAGGGGAACAGAGTAACGTTTAAGTTTCCAACAGACTGGATTGTGAACATAAATGAAGAGAAGTACATTGGCATAACATCTATGTATATAACACGTGCTTTCAGAAAGGTTGACTTTATACTTCAAGTCGAGATAGAAAATGACGAACAGTCTTTAAGCGCCCAAAACATTCACATATACAAATACTTTAAAGACGATACAACATTGCAACAATGTATGATTTCATTTAATGAGATGTTCGAGAAAAAGTTCAACATTGAAGTACAAACTTTACAGCCTTTACGTGAGTTTCTTGCACAACTGAAAGAAGAAGGTAGTCAGCCACAACTTATAGACTTTCATTATGAATTTAATGAAAATGAAGATGGAACACATGACTGTCAGTTTGTTATATATTCACCATTCAATGAAGTCGCTAAAGAGAAAGAAAATCCATTACGTATAAGATTTCAAATCTCTGAACCAAGTGATGATTTCAAGAATGTTTTCAATTATGATGCAATGCTTCCGAGGAAAAATGAATTTTCAAAGATTGTAACACCTGGTATTTGGGATAGAAAGCAAGCTATATTATATTCAAACTTAAGTAAGGGAGTTGAAAATGAGTTCATTGGTCATACAAGAAATTCACCATTCCAAATCCTAAATACTATAAATTAACTGGCTTCAATCGTGAGTTTTGGATAGACATGTTCTCACTCATGACCATAAATGCCCAGTGTTCTTACCTCCAGATGGGAAGGACTGTCTCTACATTGAAGCACAACTCTTAAACTCTACCATCGCAGTATTGTAAATGACCACATGGGCTTCGCCCTTGCCGCTAGTTTTATTTTTATCACGAATGACCTCATTGCTGACAAAAATAAATGACCTCAGAACTTCAACTTACGAATAAAGCTTGTTTTAGTCGTTATTGAGAAGTTAAACTTCTCTTCAAAGCAAGGTTGACATGACTTACATAAGTCAAATCCAATCTCTTGACCGTCATAAAGTGCTTTATAAAGTTTCATGACACTGAACTCAGAGTCTTTGTCAAATTTTCCTTGCGGAACCATTAAACCTTTATCTTCATTGTAATAGCATTGTATAGCTTCAGGAAACATTTCATTAGCGGTTAAAGCAATAACATCTTGCTTCACGCCTTTCATTCTGCAGTGAAATGCAACTTCATTTAAATCATTCGTGAGTAAGTCTATGTAAGTCTTCTTTCCACAAAATATTGACTTGTATGCTAAACTTTGTTTATCTTTTGTGATTTCTGCAAAGTCGCTATGAAATTGACCAAGGTTTTTACCAATGAGAACTCTTCCATAACGTTTCTCAAACTCTTCAGCTAAACGAGGGATATCTTCATTGTAGAGATGCATACTGTCCGTATCGCTATAAAAGATGTCCATTCCTAAGTCCTCAGCAGTACAGAATACTTCACATTATTCTCTTCGACATAGACAGAATGTTAACACCAAGTGGATAGAAGTTAAAGTGTCTGCAAATGCTTTTCGTTAGCTTGAAAATAGTTTTATCTGAACCATCCAAACCTTCGAACTTCACTATATGGTTGTAGTTTCTGATGGCATATCTTATAGCATCTTTGTCATTTACTATGGTTATTTTTGACTCAATAGGAGATAGAATAGTTTTGCCATAAATACTGTTCAGAATGAGCTTTATATTTTCTTGCAAAGGATTTCCTTCTTTCTTATACTTTAACCTTAACTCAAACAACTTCTTTACTTCATCTCTTATTCTAATATCTCTGTTTCCATCGTAATAGTATCCTTGCAACACTTCACATTTGACACCTTGATATTTTATGAGGTCTTGTAATGTTATATGGTCAACATACATTAAACAGCAAGTGTTTGAACTTCTGGGAACGTTAAGTTCTGGATTTAGTTCAGGGTCACAAACTATTAAAGGAAAGTGTCTATGTATTCCAATCTCTGTTATCTTAATGAGAACAAAGAAGCCAGACATAAACTTTTCACCAATGGGTTCCTTTTGGTCGTCATCGAATAAATGTCTCATGAGATACTCTGTGCTTAACATTTCTTTCTTCATAACCTTTGGAATCCTTCTAAAGTATAAAGTCTTGCTATAGCTGATGGATATAATGAAACAGCGTCGAAGTCAGCAATGAGTTTCTTTTCGCTCTTTTGTTTCATGTTATCTGACAGCATACATCTTCCACCTTGAATACAGCGTGAAATAAATTCTCTTGGTTTATTTGAGAGGTCATATAAATTTCCATTCGGGAAGTACACTCTGTTCTCAAATAATTTGTTAGCAATTGAACAAATACTAACGTAGTCATAAACGTTTAAATCAAATTCTTTAATATGTCATTGCGGAACTTAACAAAACCTTCTCTTAAAATTCTTACATCTTGTTTGCAATAAAATGAGCTATATTTTTCTAAGTCGAAGTGGTTTTCATCTATTCTGCAACCTTTGATGGAATCTATGTTTTTCAGAAATGTATCTGCATCCTGGATAAACTTACATGCTTCAGAAATGACACCAGTTCTGTTGTCATTTGCTAACAAAGTACTGCTGTAGTAGTTATATGGAAATACTTCTTTCGGTCCTGTTTGTAAGTTAAACATAGCAGGAAATAGTTTAAGCTTCTTATTTATAACACTGTAAGAGTCTTTTATAATAATTGCCCGTCCTTTATATAAACCAGTTATTTGCATTGTTCGTGAACCTTTAATGATGGGAGTTCCTTTCACTTCTGTCATGTGTCTTAAGATGAAGTTTATATCATAGCTGAGGTTATGGAAATATATTAAACTCTTGTCAGGAAGTCGCTCCAAAAATTCTGTTGCACAGTTTTGACCCCATATGCTTTCACTCACTGAACCATCTTCACTGTCGTAACAGATGTTAAAAGCTTTATGAAAGCCGTCTGTGCTACACTCAAAGTCAGCAAAGAAAACATGCTCAGGAATGAACTTACATTTAGCTTTATTTACTTCTTTTGACTCTGCTTTCTTCTTCAGTTGTACACAATACTTTGGAGCATATGTCAAATCTTTAAATGGTGCAAGGTTCTGTTTATATAAGTCAGTCGTATATGTGAAAAGTTCTCCATAAGAAATAGGTTCGAAATATTTGCACTCCCACAATGTTTTCATAACATCCCATAGCGGTGTAGTTCTATCCATGCGAACTACATATTTATCTTCTCTCTTTGTATAAATCTTCATCTGTTTCTCAATGTTCATTCCACCACACTCCTTCAAGATTTCTATATAGTTGCGAATGAAATATGTTGTCATTGGAAGTCTTTCATTTAGCATGTAGTGGTCTTCAACAAGAAGTAAGTCAATAGTTCGAACAGTTTCACATTCTTTTGGTATATCTCTTTATTTCATTATGTCTTGAGTCATTGAAATAACCAATGGTAACATTAAATGCTATACCTGTTGCGTCAGAAATTTCTTGTACTTTACTTTGAGGAAAGTCTCTAACACGAATGACTTCTCTCATGTGGTCAATAGTTTCTTCATTTACTCCAGCCTGAATGCAAGCATAAACGAAGCAGTTATCTTCTGTCATAAGTGTTGCAGTTCTTTTGTTCAGTTCATTGAAGATTTGGTAGCGTTCAAGATTTATAGGTAATGTGCAAAGATACTTCCAGAACTGACCGCTTCTCTTCTTATAAAACTTCTTTTCACCATTATCTTTCCAAAAGCTTTCTATAAGTGCTGGGTTTCCTGTTTGCTTAAGAGCTTCCAAAATGGCTTTCTGGTCATTTGTCAGTGTGCTTTCATCTCTATATGGTCTCTTTTTTGGTTTGCCTTTCTTTACATCTGACATCGTTAAGCCTTCATATTCTGTTAAATCATACATCTTTATTTCAGTAAGATTCTTTATGTTTGTCAAGAAGAAGTCATAGTGCATTTCAACAATACCTGCAGCATTTGCTTCTATCTCTGATATAAAGTTCTCCTTCAAGAGCTGATGTAGTAATGTTCCAATATTATTGAGGTTTAACGTAGAACATTCATACTTTCCACCAAGTTTATAACATACCATCCATCTTTGTTGGGAGTTTATTTTAATCTTCTCTAAGAGTCTCATGAAAACCTTACCGAAATGTTTGTGTAAGTAGTCTCTGTTTGGTTCATCTAAAGCTTCGATGTTAAAGTCAATGAGTCTATTGCCTGACTTCACATTTCTCTTCCTATTCTCTTCATCTTTCTTTAACCATCTCTCACCTTCTTTTGGTTTGTCGTCAATGGAACGAATGACATCGTTAGCTTTGCGAACTTGTTCTATAGCGCTCTTAAACATCTCTCTTCTCTGTTGTTTCAGTGTGTCGTCTCTTCTTCTTGTTTCACCAACGTTTGCATTTGTTATGTCAAACATTTCTCTTCTTACTTCATGAGGTACTGAACGTCTATGATATAAGTCAATAGCAACGTCATTTAAAGGAAATGCTCTTGCATGGACTTCGTCCTCGCCGCGTTGCGGCTTTATGAACTCATGAATTCTATCATAACTTATTCACCATTGTAGTCTTTAATGAAGTCAGCGAGTGCTTTTTTGTTTGTTGCGTAATGCTTTGCAACATCTATATTAGCTTCTGTAAGAAGTTGTTTTATTTCCGAGTGTTCTAACTTAGACAACTTCCGATACATCTTTAGTAGGAAATAAAAAAATATTTTTTTGAAAAAATTAGATTAGATTTTTTAAAGTTATTTTTCAAAATAATTTAATATTTTTATTTTAATGAAACACATGCAAGATTGCAAGTTCTTTTCATACAATGCTCTCGCTACTGCCATCAAGAATGAGTTCAATAATGCTTCAAATGTTAATGTTATCTTTAACAAGAAGTTTGTGAAAGAATCTAAGTTTGGTCAGTATGTCAGACCATTAGCTATCGTCATTGACCGCAAACGTTATACTTCACAAGAGTTAGCAGTAGTTTTGAAACAAAAGAGTTTCTTCGTGAATGTCAAAGATACTCATTATACTGTCATAAAGAACTCTAACATTGACTTCTTCAGTATTGCTTTAAATCTTTCCGAACAGAAAGAATATAAGAAGGGTGAAACATATGTGAAATATTATCCTTCATCTCTGAAGACAATAACGAACAAAGATGTTATACAGAAATTCTTACCAAAGGTTGAAGAAGCTTCTATTGACATTGACGAAGAAAGTGAAATGGTTGAAGAAATTGACCCTGACGTCATTTAAGCAAAAATATATTTTTGGTTAGTCTTCATATCGATATTTTACAACAATTCCCCAATGTATAAACTTTTCATACGCTTTTTCATAAGCTTTATATACCTTCAGAAATTTTGCATAATCTTTAGAAGCATTTAGATATTGTTTAAATGCTTTGTATGTCTTCAGAAATTTTGCATAATCTTTTACATGTTGTTCGTTCTCTTCTTCTGTCATGAGTTCCGAATATTCTAAATTCATGTTCTTTCATATGAGATAAAATTTTATAAAAAATATAGCTTAGATTTTTTTATTCTTCCTCTTTGAAGTTATCGAAATATTCTGTTATTTTTTCCTTCAGTAATGTTAAGTCTTCTTTGAATGTAAGTATTGTGCAACCTTTGATGTCATAGTGTGTTTGAGGAAGAGTATTTTTGACAATTTCCTTTATTTGCTCATTCGGTGTCATTGAAATCGGTAAGTTTTCACGATAGAACCAGTTTCTATCAGATTTATATATCTTAGCTAAGTCATAAAAGCTCTTGTTGTTTCTTCTCACTAAATGCAACATAACCATATCTTTATCTTCTTCATTTTCCATCTCTTCAGTATATATCATATACTTATAACTCTTTTCCTTTCCTTTTGGTACCGAACGCGGTATTCTTTTCTGTATGCTTTTGTCTTTGGATTCAATGACTTCATCTTTTGCTTGAAGTTTCTTTTCCATCTCTCCACGTTCTGCTTTATATAGTTCATCTAACATCATGAAAATATAACAAGCATAACGAGGTGAAGCCCACATTGCTACAGCATTTACTAAAAGTCTATGAACATAATATCCTTTCAAACCAGGAGCCAAATTCGTGCGATTTTCGTACGGAATCTCTTCTCTCGGTTTTCCGAGGGAAGCAATCATATGAGGAAATTCTTCTAAAAGTTCTTTTGTCTGTTGGTTTTCAAACCAATGATATGCTTGCTTTGTAGAACGAAGAGCATTCATTATACTTTGCATTTGGTACATGTCATCTTTGACCGAACGAATGAGGCGAAGTTGTTTGTTATATTGTATGTATTCGTATTCTTCATTTATGGCTTCATGAACGATAGCAGTTGTTGTGTTCTCTAATGTTGACATTTCTGTTCTTACATACAAAATAAAAAAATAAATAAAAATAAAACTAACTTTATTTTTCTGTGTTAAAGAAATGTTAAAAATTCATGGTTACATATGTGAAAAGAAGTCACGAACAAATGAAGGTCATAAGATTCAGCACATAATTCTGAATTGAATGGTGTGTCATACATGTCAAACCGTCAAGAATTGAAGGAGATACGAGGCTATAAAGATTTTGGATATTTTCTGACACACACCCTGAGGGAAAAGTGACAAAACATGACGATAGAAAAAGTGACAAAATGAGAGAAAGTTGTTCCTCGACCAAAATACAATCATGTTGAAAAAGTGACATTTGTAAAGTTGGACGATAGGATTTCCTGAAAAAGTGCAAGACTTGTCTTGAATCAGGACAAAACTTTACAAAATGTAAACTTTACATAACCGTTTCTATCGTACATGATATTTAGTTGACATTGTAAACTATCTTCATGTAAAGTATGGCGGTTTGAAACCGTCGGGAACCTTCACTTTTTTGACGAAGTGCGAATCTTCACTTCGTGTCATGATGCAAAAATAAATGGTTCATTTACTTACAATATTTTTGTACAAAACGACCCCAAACTTTTAACTTCTTTTCTGCAGCTTCTAATGCTATCTTCATGTAAAGTATGGCGGTTTGAAACCGTCGGGAACCTTCACTTTTTTGACGAAGTGCGAATCTTCACTTCGTGTCATGATGCAAAAATAATGAGTTCATTTACTCACAATATTTTTGTACAAAACGACCCCAAACTTTTAACTTCTTTTCTGCAGCTTCTAATGCTATCTTGGCGAGTTCATATTCTCTAAATTCTCTCTTTAAATCTTCTTGTTCCCATTGGTCTAGTTCGTATGGAGAATCTCTATAACCATAACATATCTCACGTTCATGTTCTAATTGTTTTTCGCACATTTTTCCAACTTCTTGTTCGAACAAAGGTTTAGCATTCTCTACTGTATCTTCGAGTTCTTCTTCATCTAATTTCTCATGAACTTTCTTGTCTATGGAGTCCATAATATCTTTGACATAAAATGCATACTTTACAGAGCACCATTCAGCAACAAAATGAACGAAGTCAGGATGTATGTAAATACCTTTGAATTCATTTATAACACCCTTAGTAAGCTCATAAAATGCTTGTTTTGAGGTTGAGCCACTTTTGGCTCGACCGTATTCTTTCAACCAAAACTCAAGAATTTCCTGCATTTTAGCACTATTGAGAAATCTGTTTAAATGGTTTAACTTTCCTGCTTCTCTTGCCATCTTTGTTGCATTAATGTAACCATCCTTGTCTCTACGTAAGACTTCAATACCGTTATAAGTGCCTTTTGTGAATGTTTCGCCATTAGATTTGTTAGTGAATGTTTTTGCTTCGACTGACATTTCTGTTCTTACCTACAAGATAAAAAGTTAGAAAAAAATAAAACTAACGTTATTTTTTCTGTCTTAAGGAAATTCATGAGGGTAGAAATGAGGTTAGAAAAGTGGTTAGAAAACGTGTTAGATCTAACATTCTAACATAAACTTTATTTTTGGTGTAAATAAATGGTACCATTAATGATATCATGACTGTTCTCGTTCATGTCTGATTTACATCTAATGAAAAAGTTTAGAAGAATTTTCTTATTCTTTCTGGCATATTTTTGTCTTTCCAGTACTCCCGCTCTAATGGTCCCAGATGTGTTGGCTTCGACTCTCTCAAGTTCTTAGATGGTATAACATCTTCAACGCCTCCTTCATATCTTACTTTATAAGTGTCATCGTTTGTGTTATAGCCAAGTATTTCAATAACCACTCCTCGCTTTGCTTCGTCAATGGTTTAGCAAGTTTGCCATTACTACTTTCGACTAATTTATGACGAGGGTAAAATGCTATGGAGTCGTCAGCAGCTTTTATAAGATATCCATTACCTTGCGTTGAATCTACTATATAATAATTTCGACTTAACCTTAAACGTTTCTTTGTCAACGGTTTGTCGTCAAGAACTACACGAACTTTTGTCCAGGAATGAGAGTAAATTGTGTTGAATTTCTGATATTTTGTGTTTGGCTTCGTTTCTTTTGTATATACTTTTCTTCTTGTTGTTGTGTCATTGAATTTGGTGTATGTCCTGTTGTAGAATGTGTTGAGGAATTATATACTTCGAGAAAGTGTTTCATTGTTTCTTCGGTAAAGTCTCGCTCTTGATTTAAATCTCTGAGAGTCTTATGAAGCGGTTTATGATGCCGAGTATGTTATGGTTATGGTCTTCAGTAGTGTAGTGAGTTATGTTATGCTTAATGAGAAAATCTGTGATTTCATTGCTGAGGTATGCACTGTCTTGGTCTGATGTTAAAGTACTTGGGCTATGTTCTGCTACAAACTTTTGTAAAACTCTTAACACTTCACGAGTTCCTTTATTCCTCATTATATACGCAAAAGCTTTGCGAGTGTTAACATTAATGAAGATGAGGAATGGTTTATGTCCTCCTTTTCTGCTTTGAATGAGAGTGTCAAATTGGTATGCGTCAGGAGTGTTGGAGTAAATTGGTAAAAAGTAGTCGTAAGGGTTTATTTTTGTTTGATGTACAACATTTTTGTCAAAGAACTTTTTAACTTCAGCTCTGTTAGTAAATCCCCAACTTTTTGCTGCTTCATTGAACTTCTTAAATGACCTCCATGGATGTTGTTCGAATACTTCTTTCAAGCTCATTTATGTAAAGTTAAAGATTTCATTGAACACGGTACCATGCGAATACAGTCACAAATGGTGGCATATAATCTGCACCCGAGCCTGTTGGATTTGTTGTGAAAGTGTGTGAATGATTTCCTCCTGGTTCAGTTGGTCGAAAAATCTTTTTTGCTGAATTGTTATAAGATGGAGATAAAACGTCATTGCCAGCTTCATATTCTGAGTTGTATAATGGGTGGTCTCTTAATGAGTGGCTATGGTCGCCAGAAAAGTTTGTAGTTCCTGTATGAGTGTGGTGGAAGGTTTGCTTCTTTAATTTTCTTCGAACCTCCTGTTTGCTTTGAATATCTAGCACAGTATAAGAATTTATCTACAATCTGCTTCCACGTACCAAAACCTAAAACACTTGCTGGATTTGTTGAGTTCATTGACGTATAAATAGAGCCTATAGGATATAATGTTTGAAGTATTTCAGTCTTTAATGTTTGAAGCTCTGTTTTGTCTGCTTTCTTATCTAACATTGTTGGTAGTTCATATGCTTCAAAGTTTCTGGCATGACCTTCGATATTCCTGCAACTGTTATCTAAATTGTTAAGAGTATCTTTTACGCTTGTACTTGGATTTTCTAATGGTGCACTTGAACCAAGGTATAGTTCAATATTATGTCGTCTGCTCTAACAGTAGTGAAGGATTTATGTGTATGGTTCTTGTCAGCTTTATTATCATATAAATCTTGAGCAGTGAATTTAACATTATTTTCATCGTCCATGACATAAACATTTTTACAGCTAATTTCTTTCTTCGTTGTTATGTTTTCATTCGATGTTAAACCTTGTGGAAAGTTAGGAGGTTTATAATATAAAGCAGCCGCGTGCGGCGGGGCTCCGCCCTCCCCACCAGTTCCTTCAACCGTTCCTTCAATACTTTCTATAGCAACAGTTGAGAAGGAGTTATGTGTATGTTTTTTATCTGCTTTTTATCTAACATTGCTGGTAGTTCATGTTTCAAAGTTTCTGACATGACCTTCAATGTTCATACATTTACTATTTAAGGAGTTTAGTGTATCTTTTACGCTTGTACTTGGATTCTCTAATGGTGCACTTGAACCAAGGGTATAGTTCAATATTATGTCGTCTGCTCTAACAGTAGTGAAGGATTCATGTGTATGGTTCTTGTCAGCTTTACTATTTAATGTAGCTTGAAGTTCATTTATATCGGAGATATTGTGTTTATGAGATTTCAAAACTTTGTTCGTTGCGTCAAGTTCATCTTTGTCAGCTTTACTTTTAATAGCATCTTCAAAAGTTATTTTTGCCTTAACTCTCAATGTAAATCTTGGTTCAACTAATACACCGTTAACAAAGAAGTATGAAGCATAAATTTCATTGTTATAACCAAATGCTTCTGGTGCTTTACCTGTGTCATACTGTACAGTACAGTGTATGTCATAACCTTTAGCACGAATGAATTTATATCTTCTTTCATTAACATCTTCAGTGCTTATTTGTTCATCCTGTGTTAAATATCCATGGTAGTCCGTTATAATCTGTTCGTCTGAACTTATATAATGAACATGGTTTTTATCTGCTTTTTCGGCTAATTTCTCTTCTATCTCATTTATTTCAAGTTCATGCCTACCACCACCTCCCGAAGAAGTATTTTTCTTCAGCTCTTGAAGAACGTCCACTTCGCCATCTTTGGTGTCAATAATGAGACTTTGAGTTAAAACCTTTCCTGTCTTAATGGATGTTTGTAAAACTTCTTCTTCACCGTGTTCGGGGTCATGGTCGTCATCATATCTTGTGAAATCAGAGATGTTGTCATACATTAAGCATATCTGTCTCAAAAGTTCTGCTATTTGAAACTGGAACGAAAGATATACAGAACTTTCATCATCTCCTAAAGTCAAGTCTGCTTTCTTAAGTATTTCTTGAATGTATGCAATGAGAACAGAGTACCTTGGAAAATATTCGAACAATATTTCATTAGCTGTTGGTTTTGGTGGTTCTTCTGGAGTTTCTGTTGGAGTTTCTGCATCTCTTGACTTCAATGCTCTTGCTCTCAAAGACCTAAATGTTAGAGCACCAGGTTTTACAAAGGACTTTATAAATGCTTTAATAGTTCCTGGTAAGTTATTGTTAGCATTAAGTAAGTTCCTTATGCTTCCATCATGTACGTCCATAGCACTATGTAAAAAATCTATACTTTTCTTGTAGTCAGCAATAGACTGACTGTGATTTTTTAAAGATTTGTCAATACCTTTAAGCCAATCTTCATGCATGTCTGATACTGAGCCAAGAATATCATTTGCTTCCTTTAGTGTATTTTGTGCTTCTCGTAAAGTATCCAATCCCGTACGTGCATTGTTTGCTATACGTCTTACAGTATCTATTTGACTCCTTGTTTCTTGCATCCAACCAGATAAAGTTTTAATAGTATCCGAACCATTTGAAATGAAGTTCAAAGCATTTTTAACGTCATCTAAAACTTCTTCACCAAGTACTGCCCATATCTTTCCGATTTGGTATTGAAGAACTCCATATGAAGCAGCTGTTAAACCAGTATTTATAAGGTTCCATATCCATGATTTAGCAGTTTTTCCATCCTTTCCATCTTCACCATCCAAACCGTTTTCGCCTTGAGGTCCTTGTATTCCTTGTATTCCTTGTGGTCCTTGAGGTCCGGTGTCACCCTTCTCTCCTTTCAGTTCATCTTTATGTTCGTTATAATATTCTAATGTCATAAGGTGTACATCATTACTGCTACCAGCAACGCCGAGAATTTGTTTCTCATTCATGACTAAATTCTTTAGGCATTTAATGTTGTCGTCAAATCGAAAGCTCTTTAACAATTCAATGAGAACATTTAATACTTTCACTAATGAGGCATCTACTGTAGAATTTATATATTGCACCGTTCCATCATTTATGATGGGAACCTTGCTTGTTGTAATGAATGGGTCATAAGTGTTAAAAGTATCGAAATCAATGACTTTTTTAGTTTTTCCATCGTCAATGACTAAATCATTGCCTTCAATGGTTAAAGTTGAGTTTTCGTTTACTAGTTCATGTGCTCTTCTTGCTTCATTTGTTTCATACGCATATGCAGCAATAGTCATATTTTAATGAGAATAAAATGTTGTTCTATTTGCAAAGTACAGACCCAAACGAATACGGGACAGTAAAGCTACAAACAAACTTAGGTCTTCAGAATGAAGCGCTTGCTTTCAGAGTTGTTGACTTCAATACTATCGCAACTTTTGTCATAACAGATGAAACAGATTTCATAGAGATTGAAATAGATGACAAAAGAAGTGTTATAACATTTCCTAATAGAGCTGGGTATAGAATAGATAAAATTGCTGGAGTGTTAAACTCTCATAAATGAAGAAACTATTGACAACATAGATGTCGAACTCTCTTCTGAGGGAACATTGAAGTTCAGCAGCGAGAAAGAGTTTAAGATACCAAGAATGAGTCATAGAGTACAACTTCTTTTGGGTGCATACCATATGACATTTCCTTTGAAAAGTGTTGACAAAACGATTGAGATGAAATCTGTTCCATACGTATGTTATGGTAATTGTTTGTACATTGAGTCAAAAATAGCTAATGTCACAGGTATTTCAGGAGTTAATAGTAAAGGTTCAGTAGAATATAAGTCTTTCTGTTATGCAGTCAATTCAATGTTCATTCCAAACGTTCCTGTCATAGCAACTCATTTAGGTAAATGGGTTCGCATTAGTCCTCATAATTTGAAAGACATGCAATTCAGACTTGTTGACTTTCAAGGAGAGCCTGTAGAACTGAAGGCACCAGTGCGAATGACTGTTGAAGTTGACTTTTTAGAAAATATTAAATGCAACAGCTTACAAGAGAACTCAGAGCTAAAAATATAAAGTATGAATGTTATGTATTAGGTCATGAACTTTGGTTGTTGCTGTTTGATGAAACAAATGAGTTAGTTATGTCAGTCAAGAGAACAGAAAAATATTGTGTTAGTGAAAACTGCACCAAGTCAATAAGATTAGGTTTGCATTATGAAGATGAGTTCGATACTGTTGAAGAAGTTTTGGATAGATATTACAAATTGCTAACTTGAAATTTTTTGACTGACGGCGCAAAGCGCCAAGATGGGCTCAAAGAGCCCTCCTGACTGCTTTAATTTACTAAAACATATTTCAAACAAAGCTTATAGTCAGTAGATAGTTTTGTATACTCGTTCGAATATTTATACTTAAACTCAACTCCTGTAGTTCCTGGTGTTTCAATGATGCGGATGTTACCTATTTTCATGAATAGTGGAGTTTGACCACAGCATTCGATTTCAGGGTCGAGATAGTCAATGACACATTGTTTCCCTGTTATTCGTGAGATAACATTTTCAAGGTCCTCCTTTGTTAGAATTATTTGGTTCTTACTTATAAGATTTGTCAAAAGCTTCTTATCGTCTTTGAGTAAAATTGTTTGGTATAACTGAAGAAGGTAATGGTCTACGTTATCTGAAGGATTTGTTTGAACATTTGTGTAAGGGTTGTCGTTGGCTTCTCTTGAAAGAATTTGGTCCAGTGGTGGATACTCTAACTTAACATCTGATGTAGCGTTAGCGTTTGAAGCTGTGTTTAAATTCAATTCACCGACTTAAGATCTGGTTCTTTTTCTTTCAAACACTCTGAACTATAGTTCTTTATGACAATATTGTTTGTCGTTCGTGAGTCAACATTTGATGTTGGTTCAATTGGAACATTAACGGCACCAGCTAAGATGGATTTGCTTCTCATTTCATATAGAATAAAAACCTTTTATATGTATGAAATGAACAATATACTCGACAAGGGTTTGAATGTAAAGCTAACGAATGAAAATATTGTTGAATTCACTGAGACAGGTGCTGTGTATAAAGATGTAGAACTACTGAACAAAAGAGCTAAGGGAAGAAGCAGGAACATGAACAAAGGGTGGAAGCCTATAAAAATTTATGTCAATGATGGCTCAGGAGGTTCAAACATAAAGTATGCAGAA